TCATTCCCAGTGAGAGCACCGCTCTGCCCACAATCTGCATTCTAATATTTCTTCTCATGAATGGCTTTATGATTTTGCCAAGTCACCTAGATACTCACTCCCATGTTACAGGGGTTGTGAGGACAAATGAAATAAAGCAGTGGTTCTCAAACTTTCACACAGATTCCTGGTTCCCTCCTTAGACTTTCTGATTCAATTCATTCTACTTTCTATGTGGTGGTCTGTCTTCTACTTTGTCCTAGTCTATTTTAAAATTTTGTTAGAAACTGGTTCAAATTATTTAAAGAAGGCCAGGCACAGTGGCTCATGCCTGTAATCCCAGCACTTTGGGAGGCTGAGGCCAGCAGATCACTTGAGGTCAGGAGCTCCAGACTAGCCTGGCCAACATGGTGTATTATAATACACAATAAAAGATGGCTATTACAGTTATAACTTGGGGGATGTGTAACCACACTTAATAACCACATGAAAAAAGACACTATGAAGAAACACATGTTACTGCTGACCAGTAGCACAGGTCATTGTTCCTTAGGAGCTGGTCCACCATGTCCTCCACTGGGCACAGCTGGGTACTGCTCTGTAAATGAGGGGAGTGTCTCTCACATCACTGAGTATTACTCAATAACCATATCACATGCCCTTATACATATAAATTCAATTCTCTATCCTGTATAAACACAGAACCCCATCTCTCTATCATAGACACACATACTACATTCCCAGAATACATAACCCTAATAACCACTTACTAAAAAATACAAGCACATAGCTCCACAAAACATTCATCCAAACTGCCATGCCCTTGAACACACAAACTCAATACTCATGTAGTTCTCTGCATGCCCTAAATATACCCACAATTAACTAACACCACAAATATGCTAACATGGCACTTCATATCCCCAAATACACATACGATCCCACAATACCTGCACATATGTAATCACACTTGCAAATGCTCACGCAAAAATAACTCCTCCATCTTCCAAGAAACAAAAATCATACAAACTCCACCTCACAACTGCACACATTCATCCTACCAGTCCCCCAAAAGTCATGGGTCTTCCCTCACACATTGAAATAGCCATACACAACCCCTGAAAATCATGAAAAGAAACACACAAAATCATGCAACATGTCCTGAGCACACAAAGGGCATTCCTATATTCCACAAATACGTAAACAGAGTGTACATCCACAAAAATATAGACACAAGCACTTTCTCTATTATTGCCCATGTGCATGTGATAATTCTTCCAAATATTCCAAACATTAGACACATACAAATCCCCAACAATCATTTGAGAAAATACATCTTCACAACCTAAATCACAAATATCTAACCCCAATTCTTCTGGCATACATATATTACATCTCATATCTTCCAAATATAAACACTAGCTACACACTTGTGGGTAACACCCCCTGTGGGCACCGAGGCAGGAGAGCTGTGCAAACCCCAGGCACAATTAGTGCCTGAAGAATATCTTAGTTTATAGTGTTATTACTCAGCTATTCCCTTTATATAATCCTTCATATATAGTCATATATTATTTTATAGAATTAGTGCCTGAAGTATAACTTAGCTTACATATATCTAGCTTATATAATCATACTTATATCTAACATAGTTCTATATAATCTTTCTATATAATCATATAGGTATTGTAGTCGGAGCTGTACTGACACATGTAGTGCTGATTTATAGAATCCTTACACATAACCATATAGTAGTTTGTAGTAGGAGGAATGCCTAGAGCAGTCACAGAACAAAAGTAGTATATGGGAAAACAGCCGGACCAGGACGAGAACCAAAGACCCAGGCAGTGGCGTCCCTGCCTGAAAGGGCACACGCTGTATGGCAGGCTTGGAGCAAGAGCCTCTCCTCCGGTTAAAGGAGTTGTAGTACCTTGCATCCAGTTCCTGTGGAAAGTAGACCTCAGGCCTGAGATCCTGGAAATAACCCAGGGAGAAGAACCCCCCCGGTGTGACCAGTCATGGCAGCTGTACACCCTGTCAGACTTTTCTCGCTTCTGTGCTTGCTCAAATCATCCTCCTATAAATATCTTAAGAGAAGAGCACATCTGCCAGCTCCCACTGCATTAAGCTTACAGTATCCTTCTGTAGAAATCCTTTGAAGTCTCCAGCCCCCCGATAAGACGTGTTGTGCACGACACCTGTTGCACACAGCCCACCTCCTTACCTCGGTGACCTAATGGGGGTGGACCACTTTTCTGTACATGACCCTCTACTACCGCGCACGACACAGCTCCCTACTGTGCACAGCCCACCTCTCTGTCCAGGTGACATAATGGGATGTCACCCTCACTTGTGACTCAATTATGTATGCCCTATCACTAAGCCTATAGATGATGACCTTACTCACGACCCTTCCCCCTGCTTGTACTTGGTAAATACGGACACTTCTGGGCGTTCAGGGCCCCCACTGGTCTCCGCTCATAGGTGGCATGGCCCCCTAGATCGAGATGCTCTTCACCAGTTCTTCAGTGTCCTGTCTCTTTACTTCTCAGATCCTGCACTTCAGCACAGCATAAGGGACACCCCACGACCCTGTTGGGGGCCCAACAGCCCTACACACACTCTCACAAAAACAGTTATGAATAGTTATGAATGATCTTTTTTTTTTTTTTTTGAAACAGTCTCACTCTGTTACCCAGACTGAAGTACAGTGGAGTAATCTCGGCCCACCACAACTTTCACCACCTGGGTTCAAGCAATTCTCCTTCCTCAGCCTCCTGAGTAGCTGGGACTACAGGTGCATGCCACCACACCTGGCTAATTTTTGTATTTTTAGTAGAGATGGGGTTTCTCCATGTTGGCCAGGCTGGTCTTGAACTCCTGACCTCAAGTGACCTGCCCACCTTGGCTTCCCAAAGTGCTGGGATTACAGATGTGAGCCACTGCGCCCAACCCAATTATGACCTTCTTTAATCTGCAATCTCCACACAGACACCACCAACCCACATATGTGAATACATATTAGATTCTCACCAGTTAAATACATTTCAAATTCCAATCTAAGAAGTCATATAAACACATTTTTCACATACACACAACCACCCCCACAAATCTCATACCCCTCAAAATCCAAAACAAACCTTTCTTACATTCTCAAGTACACACACTCCAACTGCCCAAGAAGACACACACGTGTGTGCCATAAATTTTAGATATAATACATGTGTAGCCTACAATTTACCAATAATAATATACACTATTTTTTATTATGAATTACACATAGGTAAGTGATTCTTATAGGAGTATTTCTTGACTTTGGCCAGAGTCTTGCATCAACCAACTTGTGCTACCAAGTGAACGGACTATGGCTAAAGGCCTGTTCTTCCACTTTGCAGCTGCTCGTATCATAGGCAAATGAGCATATTGGAACATGCATGCTGGGTGATCATTCTGATTAAGTCAACAAGCTTCACAACTCACTCAATGAAGATGACCGTGAGAACATCACTGATTTTACCAGGACAAGAGCTACTTTTTTGCTGAACTGCATCACGGTTTCAACTGCTGGGGTTTTCCTTAAGCTCTTGCATTGTTCAAAATGTGAGAGGCACAGACTGGTGACCAGCAGGAGCATGACCAGGAGGCAATTACAGTACCTTCTAATCACACATAGCTTTATTTTTAGGTAACACCACAGATGATGCCACGAGAGCAAAGGCCATTGGGTAACCACCATTTCGGCTCATGCTGCGCATCTCCCTGTCCCAACCACTGGCTACGGATGCTGGGAGCCACTGAGGGCGCCGGCCGCGTGTTGGAACCACACCCGCCTCCAGGCTCGTGTGCAGGTCAGGGCAGGCCTGGAACCCACCATGGGAGGGCCCCGCAGGACCTGCACAAATGGAGGGACGTGGCACCTGGGAGCTTCCTGGGGCCAGGTGGCACCTCCTCATTGGAACCTCCATGACTGTCCCTCTAAGAAACCAGTGCATCCGAAATGACCACTCCTAATTTTTGGTAATACAAACTTGCAGTCCATACACATAGCTAACAGCCTCGTTGAAAGGTTTACCTTTGGAGGGTTTATCCTAAATCCAAGTATCCTCAGATTTCATAAGTCTTGCATTCCCTTTGGATTACATTTATTTCATTCCTGCTCATGGCTTTCAATATAATAGCATGCCCTGTTTTCCCACTCAGTCTGGGGCTCCATTAAAGAATATTTCTGGCAAAGAATTTTAGACCTGAAAAAACACTCCAAAAGATACTTTCTTCTGACTCCACTCCCAGAGTTTTTCCTACTGAATTCAAATGATTTCTAGAAATGTTTTTGTTATAGCTTTGATCAATTTCAGTAGACAAAGCAGCAGATAGTAAGGGAATAATTCCACGCTCCCCTACACCCCACTCTGCAATACAGTGCAGAATTTCAGTTGACCATAAAAAACTAGTAGAGAAGCAACTCACTGACTTGAATTTCTAACAGCTTCAGAAGAAACTTTAATCGTCAGATCCTTTCTGCTCATTTGCAGGTTCCTTTCGTTCCTTGCTCCACCTGATAAAAGTGAAGAGTCTTCACATCTACGTTGGCCCAGAGCCTCAAGTGCAGAAACTGAGAGCTCTGTAGGACACAGCATGGACCTACCTTCATTCCTCTACCTACCTTCTGTTATTGGGTGGAAGAGCATCTGTCTTCTGAAATGAGATCCATGCTCTGAGATGTTCTTTCTCAGCTGTCAGTGCGGCCCAGGACTTCCTGCGGTCATGCTCAGAGAGCAGGGGCCAGAGGACTTTTAGCCGCCACCTCCCATGGCCAGTCTTCACAAATTACTTTGGCTAATTTGATTGTCTCTCCTCCTGGGATCTAGGACTTCAAACACATACACAGGTGATTGCAGAATTCAGACAAGATACTGTTCCACAGTATACTTTTTGTAACAATGGCTCAGAAAAAGACTCATTCAAATCCAGTATCAAAGCTGCATGTGAGAATCTTGAGAAAGCATCGGCTGATTAACAACCAAGAATTCTGCCCTTCTTCAGTGCCTGAGTAGGAGATTTTCTATCAACATCCCTCTGAGATGAAGTTATTGATTGAAAATCATTTAAGGTTGCCCTGTGATAAAAGAGCAAGTCCTCAGAAAGGTCTCCAAAGTGTTTATGTTGTTTTTGTTTTGTTTTGGTAAGTTTACCATGGTTTTGCTTGAATTGCTCTCCATTGATCTCAGCTAAGACCGAGGTGAGCTGCACGGCTGAAGAGGGCTGCATGTAAGAAGGCAGCTCTGTCTCAGAGGACAAAAGGCCTGGGGGCACCCACACAGGCAGGCACTGCGTGGAGGTTGCTCCCCTCCCAGTGGCCACTGTGGAGGTATTTCATAGAAATGCTCAAGGACCATTCAGGTTTAGAGTTGGGGCCAAACCGAGAACCCATCAGGGACATTGGACAGGAGTTAGGAGATGAGTTTCTCACATAACTGGAGCAAGGAGGGGAGAAACCTGGGCTTGGGACCTACAATCCGCCGCCTTCCCTGCAGTGTGGCCCCTGTTATGTTTTCTTGCAACTCTGCCTGCATGAGTCCAGTTGTCTTCGGAAGAGACAAGTGCTTCATAAGTGCTAACAGGGAGCGTTTCAGGAAATGATCACAGTGTGCACCCCTCCATCTGAAAGCTTCTTCCCTTCCCCAAGCCCCTCCAATCAGTGCAAAATTACTGCGGCCCAGCAGGGAGTGACGTGTGTGTCTCAGATTTTGTTGCTGTGCTCTCAGTACTCACTCCTCATCTCCTCCGACCAGTTTCCTAACACTCCTCCTGTTCACAGCACAGAACATGAGTGCTCTTTCCTGCCATTTGGATGCTGATAAATGGTCAGTGATTCTCAGTGTGAAAATGAAAATGAAGCAAGTTTTTTTTAAAAGACAGGCTACAATAATTCCCATGCTGCGAACCACATGCGATGACATTGAATTCCAAAGAGCAAGGCTGTATGGTGAAGACGAGGCCAGCAGTGAGCTGAGAGAGGCCAGCCAGGATTCCAGCATGCGTGGGGGTGCATGGGAATGGGGATGGGACACTGGTGGAGAGCATCCTGGCTTGTCTCAGAATGGACATGGGTAGTGGATTCCTAACTCCTGGAGAAACCAGAGCTCTAGGAATTGTAGGCCACTTTATGTCAGGAAAGAAAAAGATGGTGTTCTGTCCTCCTGTCCCTTACACCTGGGCCTACTGCCACTAAACCTAGAAGCTGAGAAGGGTATAATGGCTACTCCAGACTTCGCTGCGTCAAATCAGCCTGCTATTTTTTCTACAATGGTTGTGTTTAGTGGTGTAGCCAAGATTCACACTTGAGTCTCAGTCTCCTTACTGTAAGTTCTCACACTCACAGTGGAGACTTAACAATAATCACTTAATATGTTACAGTTTTTTGGGAAGAGTTACCAGATAAAGTTCAAGATCCCAGCGAGTTGTAAATAACACAGATAAAGGACAAACAGCTTTGTTGTAAAAGTATACTCTAAATATCATATGGATCACAAGTACAATAAAAACTAGTTTACTGTTTACCTTGAATTCAAATTCCACTTGGTATTCCTTATTCATACTTGCTAAATCCTGCCACTCTTCTTCCATGCATTTTTAATTTTGCAAAAATGTTACAATGCCTCATTCTAGCAATTTACCTGAGGAAATAAAGACAGGAACCACATTACTGAGACAAACATTGTCACTGCAAATATCAGAAAGCTGAAACGTATTAATATATTAATTTGTACCCAAAAAAAACCTGAAAGCATTTTCAGACAGCAAAAATAGCTTCATTATGCTTTTGTTTGCATAATATATCTCTGGAAAGATGAAAAAGAATCAGAACACCCATTTGCTCCAAGAATGAAACTGTTGTGTACAGGGAAAGAGGTGGGAGGAAGACGGGTCACTGCCTATTCCACTGTGCACAATTTGAATTTAGAATCATGCAAAAGTGTTGACTGGTTAAACTAAAATCATTTGACAGATTAAAAAATAAACATTTAATACCAGCACAATACGCTGGGAAACAAAATGAAAGGCTTTCTGGCCGCAAAGCCGCTCTTTCCTGGACTGAGGCTTTCCAGCAAAGGAGATGGGAAGTAAGGCTGGCCTGCTGGTGTGGACAGATTCCAGCAACATACCGATCTGGGGGCTCAAGGACGGCTTCCATAACAATGATGAGCACACAGCCACCTAATAGCCTGGATCCTCTGAACCACGCACAGGATAGAGACATGGATCATCTGACAAACACAGGGGTTCTTGGGAAGCGTCCTAAATTGTGTTTAGGAAGTGCAGCCCCTGTTGAGATTCACCAAGAGTGGGAAAGAGCCCAAATGGGAAGGAGCATGGGTTGAGGGGCACAAAAGTAGGTCTGTTGACAAAGAATGGAAGTAAAGGGGACATCAGTTTGAAGCTTTGTGCTGTGAGTCAGAAGGACAATTTAAAAATTGCCTGAAGAGGCGCATGCCGTCTGTGCTGCTGCCGTCCAGCTGGAAATGAACCTCAGTTCTTGCCTATTGGCTGGAGCCCTTCACAGAATGTCCCCCACCCCTACCAGTACCTGCTACACTGCCCCTCCCCCTCTGCAGAATGTCTGGGGTCCTATGTTCTAAACCTATTTATTTTCAAATTTTCCCTGATCTACCTGAACTCAGGAGAATCTGTTGAGGCAGTTCACTCTCTGGGTCCTGCCCTTGACTTTTCTCATTGTGGAAATTGTCAGACAGCGGTGATCAGCACCCAGCCTGAGGGGATGGCTTCAAATGGAGGTAAGTCTGTAGGGACAGGGGCATTATCCAAGTCTCTGACATGTTTCAAATCCTTGGGAATTCAAATTTGACACTGTCCTGGGGACAGTTGATAGGGCTGATGTTGAGGGAGGGAGGGAGCACTGGATGTCCCCAAAGACATCACACCTGGGGAGGGCCATGGCACCCTGAGTCTGTGGTTAGGGAGGACAGCTCCTTAGAGGTGGACCAAGATGCCTGGGGGAATACACCATGTAGGGGAAAGGATGGGGTGGATGTATTGATTCTTTCTAGAGAGGGACAGGTCACGTCACCGTGTGTTTGTAGGGAGTGGTGGGATCCTGTTGTGCTGGTGGCCCAGGGAGGATGACAGGGAAGCCTGAGCCCTGTGTTGTGTCTTCAGGCTCCTGGAAGGTGTCCTTCCATAGTGTTCAGAGGGATTTGGACTGGAGTTTTCTGGATCTTAGGGAGGAGTGGGGAGAAGTGGTCTCAGCCAAAAAACTGTTGGGTGTGTTGGCTGTGACAGAGCCTGCAGTGACAGCCTCTGGGTGGGCAAGGCTGGGGGTGCTGTAACTGCCGCAGCCTCTCAGCTCCCTCCCCAGAGGTGGCTTCTCTGTCAGTTCAGGTGGCTGTTGGCTCTGATTTAACAGGGGTGGGGGCAGCTGGGGAAGTTCAGACAACATGGCCTGGGCTTCCCAGGTTGTTCTGAATTGTTCGTCCTTTCGTGGAAGCTCAGGTCTTCAGACCCACTTCCTCTTGTCTGCTAGCTCATGGCCTGTCCTCTGCACTTTGTGTTACTGTGGAGATGAAGGATTTGTTTCTATTCCATGTCCACTACCTCCTGAACAGGGGACGGGTGTGGACTCTTGCTGGTTCTCAGTGGAAGGGTCTGGAAAGACTGGTTTCCTTTCCAGTAGAGGAAGGAGAGTAGCGCACAAATAGGAAGACGATCCTCTTATTATTATTATTCAAGTCAGGATGTGTGTCCTGACTGATGAGGTGCACGTGCTGTATCCCTATCCCCCTTGACTGGGGACTGCATGAAGTCCTAGTGAACAGGGATGAGTCCAGACAACTGTGCCCCACCTGGCCCATGGCCCAAGAACCTCTGGTCCTTGGTTGGTCACTGTATTCAGTTACTGGGAGCTCAAAGGAAAAGGACCAGAGGTGGGTTCATTGTCCCAGGAACTACTGTAACATGACCAGCAGCTGTGAAAATCCCCGGACACCTCCCCTGACAGCCCCACTGCTCACCGCTGGCTGGCTGTGCTCTAATCCTGTGCTGCTGTTGCTGGCTGAGCAATGACAGTATCTCAGGGAACTTCACCACTGCTTCTCAGACCTGCTCCCTGGGAACAGAGCTTCCTGAGTGGCAGCCAGGACCACTGAGCACTGAGGAAAGGGTGGCCCGAATCTGACCCCTGTGTAGCACTTGCTGTGCGTGGTGCCAGGACAATCACTTGCAGGCTGGGCATGACGTGTCTGGGTTATCTTCAGGGTTCACAGGGTGCTGGCCTGGGAGAGATTTCCATCCAGTGGTTTTCTTTCATTGTTTCTATTTTGAGACAGATCCTTTCTCTGTCACCCAGGCTAGAATGCAGTGGTATAATCTTGGCTCACTGCTGTCTCTGCTTCCTGGGTTCAAGCAATACTCCTGCCTCAGCCTCCAGAGTAGCTGGGATTACAGGCGTGCGCCACCACACTCAGCTGAGTTTTGTATTTTAGTAGAGACATGGTTTCACCACATTGACCAAGCTGGTCTTGAACTCCTGACGTCAGGTGACCGCCCGCTTCAGCCCCCCAAAGTGCTGGGATTACAGGCATGAACCACCACACCCCGTCTTTCCAGTGGCTTTCTTTTGTTGTGTTGAGTTAGGAAAGAAAGGGGTGTACGAGAGCTTCAGGAAAAGGAAGACTGAAGAAGAGATGGGGCCATAATATTAGGAACCTTCTGGCTTCCTGGAGGCCTTCTGAGTGCAGAGCACTGCCCTGGGGGAGGCCCCTCACCTGCTGCTGAGCATGCTGAGGGCCACCAAGCCAGCGAGAGATTCATCCCTGACCCATGGCTTGGGAGATTCCTGTAAGGCTGGCAGGTCTTCCAGGGACGCCCGAGGGAAACCCTCAGAGGCAGCGAAGGCTTGGCTGTTGCTTCTTGGCAGACAGGGGTCAGGGAGTCTAGAGGAGCCAGGGCCAGGCTCTCTAGTGAGGCGACCCTGCCGTGGAGGAACAGAGCATCCGATGCACACACAGGGACACTTGCAAGCTGCAGTTTCCCTGTCACACGTCTCTGATTGGGACACCCCTCTGATTCCCAGTGACTACTGCAGACCTGCAGACCCCAGCTCATTCACCTCTTTCCTTTGTCTCCACAGCATGCCCAGCGCTGGAATCGGGTGTGACCAAGAACCCTGGCACCTCCATGCCAGTGTTTATGGCTCTGCCCTTTGCCACACCTTCTCCCGGCCCAGCACACGGGCCACCCCTTGTGACTGCAGTGGTTCCTCCAGGTGGCCCTCTGGTGCTGTCTGCCTTCCCCAAGACCCCTCTGGTGGCAGGACAGGGTGGCCAAGGCCCAAATTTGGCTGGGGCTTCCAACGTCCTTGTCCAGATGAGGACAGAAGTGGGGCCTGTGAAGGCTCCTCAGGCACCGACCTTGGTCCTAACTCAGGCCCCCCTCGTCTGGCAGGCTTCAGGCACCCTCTTCAAGGGCGTCGCATGTCCACCTCCCCAACCCATGGCAGCTGCACCTGTGGTGCCCGCTGTGGCTGCACAGGTCTTTGGGGACACCCAGGCCTGCGAGGCAGGCTGGTCCCAGGGCCTTCCTCCTCCAGCACCACTGGCTCCTCAGCTGGCCCCCATGATGGCTCCAGGGAACGCTGGGCCATGGCCACAAGCGGGTCATGGAGAGGGCAGCCTGGCTCCCTCCCAGGCCAAGGCCCCGCCGGACGACTCCTGCAACCCCAAGAGCGTGTATGAGAACTTCCGACTCTGGCAGCGCTACAAGCCCCTGGCCGGGAGGCACCTTCCCCAGAGTCCGGACACGGAAGCGCTTTCCTGCTTCTTCATGTGAGTGTCTTCAGGGCACCGGAGCTCGTCCTGCAGCTCACCCGTAAAGACGCTGCTGTATGGACGGGAGGTCACGCTGTTCAGGGGAGCTTGAAGGCGATGGGTTGAGCTATGGAAGGGCACATTTTCAGCAACACTAATCTGGCTGCCACTCAGGACAGACTCTCAGGGGCCTCATGTCACCTGCCCCTCACTGTCCCGTGAGTCCAGCCAATCCTTACTTTCAATCATTTTCATGACAATGTTTACAGAACACCCAGGTCAGAGAGGGTTCCTGGTCCGACATGAGCCACGGGTTGGGTTTAGGACTTGAGTGTGTCCCAGTGCCTCCCCTTGACCTGAGTGGCGAAGGCCACGGGCACAGCACATGGGCTGGGAGTGGGAGCTGCAGGAACCTGGCACACGCCCACTGTTCTGCCGAGGTCCAGCTGGCACAGCGGTGGTGGAGCCTGCACAGGGGATGGTCTCGGGCCCCGCACTGGGGTCCATGCTGAGCAGGTATTTGCAGCTTTGCCTTCGATCCCTCCTAGAAAAAGGGACGACAATGCTTCATTCAGAGGATGGTGAAGAGGTGACTTGAGCTCACTTATGACACATATAGCAGTGTCCGGCACATGCTGTGACACATTACATGATAGCAGTTATGATTACTGTCCCTATTGATATCATTATCAGACCTAGGCCTCCTTGGACAGCGCTCCCCAAGGCTATGGGCTCCAGTGATGGCTCTGAGTGCACCACAAGCCCAGCAGCCCAGGGCCATGTGGACTGTGGTGACTGAGGCAGCAATGCCAGCATCTGGGACAGTTTGTGGATTCAGTCCCAGTCCTGCCTCTCTCCATCCTGCGGTGCCTCTGTGACCCTGTGTCCCCCGCTGATGAGCAAGCCCATACTCCACAGGAGCTTGAGCACATCCACCAGGCAACACACTGGCCACTCCCTAGGCAAGTCCCCTGCTCAGGGTATAGGTGTAAGGCGACGCCATCTTTGCTCCCAAAAATCTCGCTGCCCTTGCATCCTGGGACTGGTTGCATCCTCCCTTGGAGCTGAGTCCCCATGCACTGGGTACCCTGATTCTGGGAGTGGAGCCGCCCCAGGCTCACAGGCTCCGCGTGCAGTGGGCTTGGACGCTGCTCTGCTTTGGTTCTGGTTTCTTCTCCTCTCCAGGACCCTGAGGCTGCGTCCCCAGGGGCTGCCTTGCTCCAGAGTCCCCAGGAAGCTGGTTAAATGCTCAGTCCTGGGGCCCTAGAACCTGCATGTTAACCCTCGCTCCCCGGTCATTCTGTGTGCGCGCTGTCTCAGTCAGATCGGGCTCCGCCATAACAAATCCTATAGACTGGGTGCTTTATCAGGACACATTCACGTCTCCCAGCTCCAGAGGCTGGAAGTCCCAGGCTGAGAGGGAGCGCCCTGGTGTCTCCTCCTGCCCTTATCACGGCTCAGATGCCATGACAGGAACCCACCCACATGACCTGCTCTAACCCTGATTGACTCCAAGAACTGACACACTGGGGCTGAGGGCTTCAGCACAGGAATGCTGGGGACACACATGTTCCACCCAAAGTACTGAGTTCACTTGTCAACACTGAGGACTCGAGGGGCAGTCAGAGAGGCCACCCGCTGCCTTGTGTATCATGATGTTTGATATTGGGGGCGTGTCCTGGAGGCTGAGGAGCCCACGTAGGGGAAAACAGCACAGGGACACATGGCAGGACAGATGTGGGGAGGACAGGGGCCGGGTGTTGGGACCAGGTGGGCTTGGGATGGAGGATGGGCTCATGGACTGGGACTGACTGTACCGCCTTACAGCCCAGTTCTCAGATCCCTGGCCCGGCGGAAGCCCAGCATGACCCTGGAGGAGGGACTGTGGTGGGCAGTGCAGGAATGGCAGCACACGAGCAACTTTGACCGGATGAACTACTATGAGATGGCGGGAAAGTGAGTCTGGGGTGCAGGGACAGAGCCATGGCAGGGCAAGAAAGGGTGACAGAGGCCCGGCGGCCATGGTGGCTTCTCAGCGTGGAGCGTGAGGAGGGTGTGGACAAACAGGCCCTCCTGGGCCCCTGGCTCCCTCAGGAAGCTGTTCCTCCCTCCTAGAGTGCTCTGGGGTCTCTATCCTGCCCTGGTGGGAAGCCACGCCCTGCCTGGCCTGGGGACAACCCCTGCCTGATGCTGGGGGTCATGGAGGGAGCAGCCAGCATCACAGCCCAAAGGTGGTCACCACCAGCTGTGAGGATGGGGAGAAGGGGTGCTGGCGACTATAGACAGAGTGGGGTGCACTCTCCTCACGGCAGTGACCAGAAGTCGGTTTTCACCCATCCCGGCCTGGCCAGGATTGGAGAAACCTGCGTTGGGTCAGGGGAGACCTGCGTCCAGGACACCATGAGACCCATCTCTGGCCTGCCTGCCTTTGCTCCTCACAGTCCCCTCTGTTAAGACAGACAGACAGCAGCCTCAGGGGAAAGGGGCCTGTCTTCTGGGCTCAGCTTTTGCTTCCTCCCAACCAGGGGTCTCCCAGGCCTCATTTTCCTGGGTTATCCTTCAGGGACCCACAGTCCCAACCTCAGGACTCCGGCATCTGGGCAACATTCCTGACACCTTCTGCCATAAACCCCACCCCTGGCCAGCTGAAGCCTGGAGGAGGGGTCCCCCTGGTGCCCTCCTGGGCCTCGTAGCCCTGACTTGAGTCAGGAAGCCCTGTTGATGCCATGGGCTCTGCAGGGGCCCGGTGAGGGGCAGTGAGCCCAGAACTCTGGGAGCAGCTCCCTCCTGGGACTGGGGGATGGGCCCTAGGGAGGGCCTGGACAGCCTGCCCAAGGCACTCCTTCCCATCCCTGCCTTTGGCTGCTGCCTGGTCCTGGGGGAAGGGGGCCTAGACCCTGTCAGCACGGCCTGCACCTTCTTCGCCCCAGGTTCCTGGAGTTTGAGGCTGAGGAGGAGATGCAGATTCAGAAGTTGCAGTGGATGAAGGGGCCCCAGTGCCTGCCTCCTCCAGCCCCGCCGAGGCTTGAACTTCAAGGACCATCAGCCCCTGAGGTGGTCAAGCAGCCAGGTACAGCTTCCCACATTCCCACAGGAGCCACAGCAAAGCCCAGAGGGGCCAAGGGAGGCCACTGACCCCACACCCCATGCCTCCCTTCAAGAGAGGGATTTGTTCCTTCCAACAAGACAGCTCAGGGGACCCGGGGAGCTGGGCGGCCCGTGGTCATGAAGTGGGTATTCACCTGGTCACGTTTCCTAGCTACTCTCCCCTCCCCATTCCAAAAGTCAACATACAGTCCGCCCAGGAACAGGGATGAGCGGGTAGAGCACTCAGCTTATCTGTGGCTCCAAACTTCCTCCCAAAGGATGCTCTTAGATGTGCCCCTCTTGCGGCGTCTCCTCTGGGGCACTGTGGTTCAGGTGGTCCTGACCAGCTGGGACCCAGTTCACGTCCCCGAGCCCTGCCCTCCCGTGTGGTGCAGGCAGGAGGAGCAGTCCTCACCACGCCCGTCCTCCTCCCTCCCTGCCTC